TCAGAGTACTGTTGAAATTAAATACAAACACATACAGGAAGCCCTTAGCTCAGTGACCAGCACATAGCAAGGGCTCAGCACCTGGGTGCCTTTATAATAGTTTTCCAGCAGTAGTGTTAGTGTTTACCACTCACTTTGATTTCTCAAGGTGATTAAGTGGCCAGGCTCTGGCCCTGGATCTGACAGCTTCAGATTCCAGCTCCCTGTAGGGACATGAAAACCAAAAAAGTGGACATATTTGGTACCACTGTTATGAAGTAAAAAAAATTGGGCCCCTGATACTCTGGATAATAAGAGTTGATCAGGCAGAGAGTAGAGTCACATTACCAGTTGAATATACACTGATGGTTTTTATTTAAATATCTGCACAGTCTCCTGTCATATTTTCAAAGAGAAAATCCAGTGGCCTATGATTAAGCCTGTACTTCTGGTCGATCATCCTAAAGGACACAGGAAGACCCAGATTCCCGCCCACAGATGGTGGGACTTAGTTCCCTGAACACTCCAGGTGCTGGCTGGACTCACTGGGGCTGGATTCGAGGCCCACCTGACTGTGCTTCTGTTATTTTATCTGAACAGTGGGATAACCTCCTGAGGGGTGCAGTCACAGAGGTAAGACTCCTGGAGTGGAGAGTGTGCACCATCCTGACTGCCTCCTGGCGCAGCTCAGATTCTTAAGGGCCTAGAGTGCAGGCTTCCACCTGACTTTCCCAGGGCAACCCTCTGTGCTCAGCTCTCTCCTCCATCTCTACTTGTGCCAGTCCTCTATGCAGGGGAGGCTGATGATAAATGCCTCCTCCTCCCAGAAGCCTGCCTGGATTCTCCCCATTCGCCAGCCGTTCTCTTCCATGCGCCCTCAGCACTTGGCACCTCTCATAAGTCACCCTCCTGGTGTACGTGAGAATCCCTCCATTTCCACAGCCTCTGACTTCACCCTGCCTCACTCCAAGGCCTCACCACAAGCTGGCCCATAGCATGTAGAAGTAGACTGACCTCAGACCTCACTGGTTCACCTGAGGAACATTTGGGTAACCTGCCCCAAGCTGCAGCCTGCTCAGATCGCTAAGCCTCATCACAGATTTAAACTGCTTTGTCATTTAGGAAATAGATACCGGTGTGTTTCATCAGTCTTGTGCTCCTACTCTCTGCACATTTTAACCTGTCTGAAATGGGGCTATGTGTCCTGATGAATGGGCAGGGGGTATTCTTTCTTAATGATGTGTGAAATGATGCTGCCTTCCATCAGTGCCACCTCTGATCTGGTGAAGTGAGGTATAATCCCCATTTGGTAGCTGAGAAAGTTTAGGAGCGAGAGATTAAGCCACTTCCCAAGGCGCATGGGCAGCATGTGAAAGAGCAAAACTTTAAACTCGGGCAATGTGGGGGGATTTGGAAGCCCGGGTCTCTGTGCAAGACGCTCTCAAAGATGTTCCTAGTAACCCTGGCCTGCTCTTTGTGTGACCCTGTCCCCTTGAGGCTAGGCTGCGCCTGATGACTGGCTGCTCTGAAGAAAGAGAATACAGCGGAAATAATGGGCTGTCACTTCCCAGACGAAGTCCCTGGGGATTCTGGCTTCTGTCTTGTTTCCTCTGGCCCTCTCTCTTGCTCGCTCTGATTGAAGACAGGTGCCACGCTGTAAACTACTCTTTGGAGAGGTCGAAGGGGCAACAGCCAATAAGAAACGGCAGCCCTCAGTCCAGCAAGCTGGGGCTAAGGGAATTCTGCCACGAATGGCAAGGGTGAGCTTGGAAGCCCCTCCACCCACAGCTGGACCTGGAAAAGCCCTTTGTGGTAGCCTGGAAAAACTCTGAGTCAGAGTCCTGCTAAGCCATGTCCGATTCTGGTCCCATAGAAACTGAAATAATAAAAATGTGTGCTTTCCTAAGTCATGAAGTTCATTTTAAGCCACTAAATCTCATTTAAACTGTGAGGTTTAAATGATATTAACAGAGGGATTAGCTCCAGAACCTGAGCAAATGCTCAAAAAATAGTGGTTAGAACCAGAGAAGGAGGAAAAGGTAATGCAGCCTGGTCCCTTGGCCTGTGCTTCTCACCCCACAAGTAATTTGTCACACAACAATGCACAACTAATAGTCTCCTATATTTAACACCAGGTATTTATACTGTATCGGGCCCTGGAGGCACAGATGAAAATAGTGAAGTCCATGCCTTCAAGGAATGCCTGGTCTGCTGGTGGAAGGCAGGCGTGTGTGCTGGTGCTACATGGGCCCTGGAGGTCTAGAGGAGACACCCACCTTGCCCAGCCCAGAGGACTCTGGGAGTCATTCCCAGAGGCGAGAGTGCTGGCCAGGTGAGGAAGTGGGGTGGGGGGTAGTAGGGAGGAAAGATAGGAATGTGTGTTTTCTTCTTTTCTTAGTTGATGAGAGTGTCTGCAGATTACGGATTTAGCAAGAGTGCTCTGCAGCTGTGTGCTTGACGCACATACAGGCCAGTGATTCAGCCCAACACATCTCAAAATTCTGTGAGTCAGCAGGCTCCTCCTTGTGTAGGCCCAGGAGAGGGGATTGGAGACTGCCTCTGCGGAGGTGCAGGCGCTGAGGTGTGGATAATGGCTGAGCTGTCTTCTCACTCAGTTGAGGTTAAACCTGGAGGTTAAACACAGGAAAATGGGCAGGGTTGGAATAAGTGGGTTTGGGGGCCTGGTAGGATCAGTGTTTGGGACAGGTTGGGGCAGAACATCAAGGCCCCTTTTTGTCCATTCTCTTCACAAAGGCCCTGGTTTAGTGCCTTTGCGTGAGAGCTGAGCCTGGCAGACCTTAAGAGACCCTTCCCTAAGATGGGTGTGGTGGTGCCCACCTGTAATTCCAGCATTTAGAAGGTTGAGGCAGGAGGATCATAAGTTTGAGCCCAGCCGTGGCAACTTAGCAGCTTAGTGAGACCCTGTCTCAAAATTTAAAAATCAAAAGAGCTGGAGAGAGGGAAAGACCCTTCCCCAAGGACAGCCCAGAAACTCTGAGAGGGAGGAAAGGGGCAAGGCCAGGCTCAGTGGGTGAAGGTGGGGTGGGCCAAGAGTCACAGCTAGCACTTCCATGACTGTCATGGTGGCCTGTGTGGCAGCCCAGTCATGGAGAAGGTGAGGCTCCTGGCTCCCATCCTGCCTCTGTCACCAGCACTGGGGTAGGAGAGCACAATAGTAGAAACATGGGCTTTGATGTGGGAGTCCCAGCACTGCCACTTACCAAGAATGCTCTCTGTGAGTCTCAGTTTCTTAATCTATAAAGTAGAACAAGCTGGGCATGGTGGTACGTGCTTTTAGTCCCAGCTAACCAGGAAGCTGATGCAGGAAAATCACTTGAATCTAGGAATTTGAGGGTAGTATTGGCCACATAGCAAGACCCTGTCAAATTTTAAAAAGGTAAGCTGGGTATGGGGACACACATCTATAGCCCCAATACTTTAGGAAACTGCAGCAGGAGGACTGAGAAAGTTCAAGCCCGGTCTGGGCAACTTGACAAAACTGTGTCTCAAAAATAAATAAAATTTTAAAACAGTACTGGAGATGATAGCTCAATGTTAAGGTCCTAGTTTCAATTCCACACAGAAAAAATAAAATAAAATCCCCACCTCAGAGGAGTAACAGAATGTTTAAATGAAATCCATGGAGAAATTAGCTCCAGAAACAGAAAAATAAGGAGTATGACTCAGATGTGTGAGGTTCCTTTAGCCTTCACATCCTCTGATTCTGGGATTCTGCTGGCCCTTTCAAGAACCATCTCTCTTCCCCCTGACCTGTGGGACAGAGCTGCTGACTGTCTTGCTTTGAGAGGCAGCCACCTTCATGGTTTCTTTTCTTTCTTTCTTGTTTTTTCTTTTTGTCTTTTCTTTCTTCCCCCTCCTGTTCTTCCTCCTCCCCCTTCTTATTTGAGATGGGGTCTCAATATATAGTTGGAGGGGCTTGAACTTCTTATCCTCCTATTTCAGCCTCCCAAGTGCTAGAATTACAGGTGTACTCCAGCTTAGTTTCAGTTTATAACCAAAATGACCCATTTTATGGATAAGGAGACTGACCAAGAGAGGAAGTAGTTTGCCAGTCATAATGAACACCACCAACCCTCTTTTATTGAGGGCTTGCTGTAGGTATGCCAGGCTATGCTGTGCTGGAATTTAGGAGCAGAACTAGGCCTGGGAAAAAAAATCCAGGCAGGAGGATCACAAGTTTGAGCCCAGCCTGAGTCACTTAGTGGCTTAGCAAGACCTTGTATCTAAATAAAAAGTTAAAAAGTAAGAATTGGGGCCAGGTATGGTGGCACATGCCTATAATCCCAGCATTCAAGAGGCTGAGGCAGGAGGATTGCTGTGAGTACGAGACCAGCCTGGGCTACACAGTGAATTCCAGGGCAGTCTGAACCACATGGTGAGACTCTGTCTCAA